GCAGGCTCCTCCCCAGCCCGGGCCCTGATTGGGGCTCATGCAGGAGGTGGCAACCAATCAATGTGCTTCTCTCACATCAATGTTTCTCTCTGTCTTTCCCTCTCTCTTCCACTCTCCCTAAAAGGCAATGGAAAAATATCTTCCAGTGAGAATTAACAAAATAAAAATACAAAAAATAAAGTGGTCCCAATTTTGTAGGGATAGTCAGCGGTTAGGGGACCAGACAAGAGGCCATAAGTGTGGGTGTGGTTGTTACGGCCTCAAGATCTGCACTTGGAGAGCCTGATGCTGTTTCCCTTCCTTTCTCATCTTGCTGTGCAAGTGGCCCCAGAAAAGGGAAATGTGTTCCCTTTAATTCCCCAGCTCACCCTCAGCTGGAGCTTTAAAGCAGGAGGAGTAGACCCCAAGGGCTAGGCTGGTGCCAAGGGTCCCTATCAAATAATGCTCTGTGCTGGGTGTTTAACCTGCATCACCTCCTTGGCCCTTGCAACAACCTCGTGAGATAGGTAATTCATTACTTCCACTTGGCAGTTGAGGAAAATGAGATTCAGACAGACTGAGCTAGGAACTAAATTTAGGTCTCCAGACCACTAGACAGCTGCCTTCGAGTCCCTGAGTCTGCTTTCACAGTGAACTTTCCCCCAAAGTCCAGTCTCACAATAGACTCTTTCCCAGTCATTATCCACTCAAACCACCCAGCAAAGCAAATGTGGTCTCCCCTCCACCACCGCTTGGGTTTCCAACCTCCCGTTACCACTGGGACCTTTTAAAGATGTGGGAGTCGTGGAGATTTCCCCAACTCTCATTTTCTCTCTACTGACAGGAAACACCTCCTCCCCAACCTAGACAGGTAGAGTGGGACACTGCTGCCACAGTTCAGAGATCAAAGGTCACATAAGCCACTAGAGACTTAATAGGAACTTGCCCTGACCCATCAGGAAGATGCCAAAATAGCCAGTATCATGGCATTCAGGGATCAAGAGAAGCAACAAGAATCTTCTGTGGACTTGAAATGCTTCTGAAGGCCTGTCTCTCCCATGGGGCCTTCTCCCCACTCGCAGCCCCTGTGGGAGTAGTGGCTCTAGATATAGATGGTATATTTATACTATAAGGCTCTGCCCTTACTCCTCCTCCACTGCTGACCCCAGCTGGGCCTACCAGATTCCTTCTTCTGGAATCTGATGGAATTCCTGAATGGAGCTAGTGTTGGGTAACCAAAGCCAGTGCACTAGGCAAATTTGTGGGGAGTAGAAATTCTGGGTAGACAGAGGAAGCTGGTCTGCAGAAAAGGGTCTGGGTTCTTCAGAGAAACCGAATAGGTAGGTAGGTAGGTAGATAGAATAGATTTATTACAAGAAATTGGCTCATGCATTTATGGAGGCTGAGAAGTCCCAAGATCTGTAGTCAGCAAGCTGGAGAGCCAGGGGTGTCAATGGTGTATAGTTTAGCCTGAAGGCAGGAAAAAATAGCAATGTCCCATCTCAGTCAGGTAGGAGGCATTTTCCTCTTACTCATGGGAGGATCAGCCTTTATGTTTTATCCAGGTCTTCACCTGACTGGATGAGGCCCACCCACATTAGGGAAGGCAATTTGCTTTACTTGGTCTACCAATTCAGATGTTAAACTCATCCAAACACACACACACACACACACACACACACACAGAATAATGTTTAACCATACGTATCTGGGCAGCGCCCATGACCCAGCCAAGTTAACACACAAATTAACCACCACAGCCAAGTATGCAGAGACTAGAGATGATGAGAGCTGCCTATGACTTATTCCATGTTATTCCGCTGGACTTCATTTCTGCGAACTCACTGTTGCTTTAGAGTAGCCCCCTCCCCTCCACTTCACTTGAGCTAACTGAAACAGATTTCTGTTTCTTATAAGGGCATCATAATGAAGCAAGGAGACTAACTACTGGGATCTGAATCCTAGTTTCACTTTTGTTTGTTTGTGTAATGGCTACAAATTCTTTGATTCCCCTTCCATCAAGAGGTCTGGTCCATGATTCCTTCTGTGGAGAATGGCATGGAGAAATCAACATCTGGGTGCTAAATGTGCTATGCCTTTTGTTTTTGTGTGTGTTTTTAAAAAAAATATATATATATTTGTTGATTTTTTACAGAGAGGAAGGGAGAGGGATAGAGAGTTAGAAACATCGATGAGAGAGGAACATCGATGAGCTGCCTCCTGCACATCCCCTACTGGGGATGTGCCCGCAACCAAGGTACATGCCCTTGACCGGAATCGAACCTGGGACCCTTCAGTCCGCAGGCTGACGCTCTATCCACTGAGTCAAACCAGTTAGGGCTGTGCTATGCCTTTTGGAGAGACACTGCTTCTGGGCCCTCTCAGCAGACACAACTGGGAAATGTGTATGTTCGTGTGTTCTTGTGTATACATAGACATGAATACATTTGCACATATAAACATACATATATTTCTAGATTTATTTTTATATCTACTGCTTACCTATATATTAAAAACCATGAGTTTATACTTGCTATGAATTGAATTATATTTCCCCAAATTCATATGTTGAAGCTCTAACTTCCAGAGTGTCTGTATTTGGGTTAAAAAATACATAAGGATAAATAAGAGTGTCCATAGAGTGGAGCCCTGACCTGACAGGATTCGTGTCCTTATACCTCCAAGGTTAGTGCAGGGACACTCAAGGGGGTGCCAAGGGAAGCTGCTAGCCACTGTGTATTGCTGCTGCCATGTGCTATAGAACCCGGGTGCTGAAGAAGCTGTCCACGCTGCAGGAGCCTGGCACCTGACGAGCCACAAGTGCTCCAGGAGTGGGCACTGGAGAAGCATGAAGGAGCCTGGTGAGAAAGCACAGAACCAAAGGGAGAAACTCCTCCCAGAGTGCTTTACCAGCTCCCTCTACTGTCAAAGCTGAGCAGTGCGCCAGCTGGAAAAGGAGAGATAGTTACAGGACTGCTCCAGTGCAGGCAGTATCAAAGAGAGAATGGCACAGTCCACCCCTTTGGAGACTCAGCTTCCATATGCAACCTTCTGTATACATTTAGACTTCCATACAACAATGAAACAACTCCACATGTCCACCTAATGAGTTACAGCTATCTTTCTTACAAGAAGTTCTCACCCTCTCTCCAAAGTGAGGAGATACACAGTCCCAACACTCATTATTAAATACTTCTCAGATTGTCATAGTCCCATGGGCTATACTGTTACCTAAAAACTAAATTGAAACATGAACTTCCAACAACTTACATATAAAACGAAAACGGGAAGAGAGAGAAAAAGAAAAAAATGTTTAATATGTACAAAAATGCCATGTATACATAACAAACAGAGAAAAAAATATGCAAAACTACCACAGTTCCTGTTTTTATAATGGCCACAAAGCTGTTTTAGTAGTTACTAATGGTTTCCTAACTGCCTCATTTCTTCTACATTTATTAGTTGGCATTCCACTATCAGGAAGGCCTTTCTTGTCTCCTCTGTTTACTTATTTATTCATTTATTTATATTACTATTGACTTTGGTATTCTTTTTTTAAAAAAAATACATTTTATTGATTTTTTACAGAGAGGAAGGGAGAGGGATAGAGAGTTAGAAACATCAATGAGAAACATCGATCAGCTGCCTCCTACACACACCCCACTGAGGATGTGCCCGCAACCAAGGCACATGCCCTTGACCAGAATCGAACCCGGGACCTTTCAGTCCTCAGTCCAGCGCTCTACCCACTGAGCCAAACCGGTTAGGCGACTTAGGTATTCTTAATTTACTCATTGGGTTGTAACATGTTATTGTCATATTTTATGTTGATGCTCTGCAGTTGACTAATGGGAGTCCTAATAAACTTTGACACGTCTTTGACACATCTCTATCATTCTTTAAGTATTTCCATACTTTCCAGCACAAAATGTTCTAGGAACTTCTTGAACTTCCTCAACCCCAGTGGGAGAGTCGATGATTTCTCCAAGGAGCCATGACTCCTTCTGTGGAGAATGGCACTGAGAAATCAATATCTGGGAGCTAAATGGGCTCAGCCTTTTGGAGTGCCACTGCTTCTGGGCCCTCTCAGCAGACACAACTGGGAAATGTGTATGTTTGTGTGTTCTTGTGTATACACAGACATGAAAACATTTGCACACACAAACATACATAAATTTCTAGCTAGATTTATTTTTATATCTACTGCTTACCTATATATTAAAAACCATGAGTTTATACTTGCTATGAATTGAATTATATTTCCCCAAATTCATATGTTGAAGCTCTAACCTCCAGAGTGTCTATATTTGGGTTAAGAAAGTAAGTAAGGATGAATGAGAGTGTCCATAGAGTGGAGCCCTGACCTGACAGGATTCGTGTCCTTATAAGAAGAGACACCTGAGAGCTCTCTCTTCTCTACCATGTGAGGACACAGTGAGCCTGTGGCCATCTGCAAGCCAGGAAGAGAACGCTCACCTGAAACCAAATGGGTTGGCACCTGATCCTGGGCTTCCCCGCCTCCAGAACTGTGAGGAAATAAATGTTTGTTGCTAAGCCACACAGTCTGTGGTATTTTGTTATGGCAGCCCCGACTGACTAATACGATACTGACCTTTAATTCTAATGTGAACGAATGGTATTTTGTTTGCTTGCTTGTTATTTTTGTTTGTTTTTAGTGTTTCAATAATGTACCCTTTGCCTGCAGAACTTTGCTATTTTTGGCCTGTTCTGGTTGTAAGTTCAGAGAAGAGGGCTGTACGTTGCTGTGTGTAATGTCCTAAGCAGAAGGGCACTTAAAAAAAAAGTTTAGAATGGCCAGGATCATTTATCAAAAAAACAACAACAAAAAAACACACACACAGAGCTGACTCAAAGGTCACACTGTTGCTTTTCAGCTGAGTGTGAAAGTTCCCTCTGTACTCCCCAGAAAAAGACCTTAACCCAATTCCTGGTAAAACCAAGTCTTGGCTTGAAGTACTCCAGGGCTCTATCCCCAGAGGTGACCTTCTCTAAATAGGTCCCTGTCAGGGGTGGATCCCAGATCACCCTCTTCTGCGTGGCCCACACAACTGTGGAAGTGCCCCATCTTCTCATCAGAAATACTGAATCATGAAGCTGCAACAAAAGAAATGGTTCCATTGTGTGGTAAGGACATGGTCACATGCCTGCAAAAAATGTCTGGAGTCATTCTCCACCCAGCCTTAGTCACGTATGACCCAGAAGCCACAAGCTCCCAATACCCACGCTGGTATGGTCATCTGAGCTCACGACCTCAGAATTCCTAGGTCCTCCGAGCACTGATATGCCAAGAATGTGGCCGTTCTATTGCTTAGAATGGGCTACAGGAGTCCCTGGTTCAGGAGTCCCTGGTTCAGAAGCCCAGCCTCCCCGTTTCCAGACTACACAGTCCCCTCCTTAGCCAAGCAGTTGGCTGATAGGCTTCACAGCACTACTTTCTATTGGAGAACACTGCTGATTCCTTTGCTCTTTTCAATATTTTCCCAGGGCTTCAGGAAAAGCAAAGAGAAACCACGGTTCAAACCCTTTTAACTACAGCAAAGCACTTGCTGATGTTTTTGTGCAGGACAGAAAGCAGAAGCAGAGTCTGAGGGATGCGGAAGAACAGCTCCCAAACGTCCCTTCCACCTTGCAAACAGGGATCCACAGATCCTTTTGTGCAGGCTCTTACTCTTTCCCCCTCGGAACTTCTACAGAAGAGAAATACAATGACTACGAAGGTCAGCTCTGTAGAGCAAAGGAAGTCAGGACGACCCAGCTGCCTATTCCTGACCATTTTTGAACCAGTGCACAAACAACCCCTCATCTTCCAAGGAAGTAAACAAACATTTACCAAGAGCCATCCTGGAAACCCTGCAACTACCCCTGCCTCCTCCAACCCAAGTTCCAAGCTGCAACCAAAGTGACCTTCTAAGAACACAAATTTGTCGTGAGGATGGAATGAGCTAATATTTGTAAAGTGCTGACTGGCATTATTTGCACATTGAAGTGCTATTAAATGTCTCTGAGATAAATACACATAATGCTATTCCCCTTGCAGTGGTTCTCAACCTTCCTAATGCCGCGGCCCTTTAATACAGTTCCTCATGTTGTGGTGACCCCCAACCATAAAGTTATTTTCGTTGCTACTTCATAACTGTAATTTTGCTACTGTTATGAATCGTAATGTAAATATCTGATATGCAGGATGTATTTTCATTGTTACAAATTGAACATAATTAAAGCATAGTGATTAATCACAAAAACAATATGTAATTATATATGTGTTTTCTGATGGTCTTAGGCGACCCCTGTGAAAGGGTCGTTCGACCCCCAAAGGGGTCGCAACCCACAGGTTGAGAACCACTGCTTTAGCGGATCTTCAGAAGAAGAAACGGAAACTTCACTGCCTGCCTCTGCCTTCTGCTTCCTCACCGCTCTCCCTTGCTAGCCTTACTCCAGGCCTCATTTCAAGTCGGAAATTCCTTAGTCAAGCTGCCTGCTGACCTTAGCACATGCTGTTCTCTCTTCCTTAAAAACTTTTCCCAGTCCCTCTTCATGTGACCAACTTCATATCTCAACTTACATGTTACTTCTCCCTTGCAGGACCTCCCAAAGAGAGCTTAGGTTCCTCCATTTTACCCTCTTATTCCCAAAATTTTATCACAATTGTAATAACAAAATGGTTTAGGATTTTTAATACCTGCCTTTCTTACTAAACTGTAAATTACCCCAGGAGAGGGGCTTATAGGTGTGTCTAGTTCACTGCCTATCAAGAAACTCGGGCAGGGTGGATCCTTGTGGACCACGGTCGAATGAATAAAACCTTTTAAAATACTGTCTCATTTAGGTAACTGGCCCAAGTTTGCACAGCCAATCCAAGATTCGTATCAAGGCATTTTGGCTTTGAAGCCCACGGCCTGACCACCGCACTTACTGTCCATTCCTGTCCCTCAAAGCTGGAACCAGAACGTAAGTACTGGGGAGGCGAGCATAGGAGCTGCAGGTCTATGCTGAGGGCCGCACGCTGCAAGGAACCGGCGCGGTGCACACAGGCCTTGGGCCCAGGGGAGGGGGCACCTATCACGTGTACACTGCAGGGCCCGCCGCTGCCGCAACCCCGGGCAGGAATGCGGCCCCGCCCCGCTCCCGAGCCAGCAAAACCGCGTTCTCCCGGGGACTGACGTCAATGAAAGCGGGGCACCTCCCAGCGAGACGCAAGGGCGGCCGGGGGGCCGAGGGAAGGGACCTGGGCGGGCACGCCCCTCGCTGTTGCTCTGTCTCTGATTGGACCCGGGAATCTTCGCACGTAGGTTTCGAGGTCGGCGGAGGGAAGGGGGAGGAGCCAGAACACGCCCCTCACCCCTCTGTGGCTGCTGATTGGCCCGCGGAGTCGCCGCGTTCGGTTTTGGAAGGCTCGCTTTGGAGCTCCCGCAAGGCTCGCCTGAGGATTGGCTGGTCCAGGGAGCGCTGTGGGCCGCGGTTGTGAGAGGTGGCCGCCACGGCAGGCAGGTACGTAGGTCTGCGACCCGGCTCTCGGTGGGAGCGGGCGGGAGGGCGAGCCGTGAGAACGGGGGTGCCGCCGGACCTGAACCCCAGGTACACCTCGGGCCCGTGGTGCGCAGCGCCACGTCTGAGTCGCGGGGACCGACCTGTGCCGGGTTGTCGCCGTGTGGTATCGGCCAGGATACCCCCCAAGCTCTAGTTCTGTTGGCGGGTGCCTCCTGGTCCTAGCGAGCACCTTCGCGGCAGGAGCCCGGGGCTGCGCACGCCCTTTCGGAAGGCGGCAGGGGTTGGGGTCGGCGCATCTTCGCTTGCCCCATCCCGATTTGAGGTCTGTCGGCGCCGCCCTGCTTGGTGAGTAATCACGCTAATTCCCCACGGGCCATGGGGTGCCGATGGCACCGAGGCTGGCTGGGGAGACCTGGCTTTCGATCCCTCCGCCTTCCGAAACCGGTAGAAGCAGATAGCAGGCTGCGGGAGGGTTCAGAGCCTCCAGGGTCTTTCCTCTGAAGACCTTGGCACCCTCTGGTGGGAACAGAAATAACTAGATGAGAGCGAGCGCTGGGGTCAGACCTCTTGGGTTCATATCCTGCCTTAGCACATACTGCCTGTGACTTATCCTTCCTGAGCTTAGCTTTCTCATCTGTAAAATGGGTGTAACCCCTCAGAAGGGTGTCATGAGGATTAAAGAGATTACCCTTCCAACAGTGCTGGTTTGGACTTGTTTTGGAGCAAGGTGCCTCACCAGCAGCGATGATTAAAAGTCCGCAGATGACTCCATTCTCCCTTCACCCTCTTCTCCCAAGAGTGAAGGCCCCTTTGAGGGAGTTTCATGATAGTGGTGATGACGAACGTGGGTGGTTAAAAAGCCCTTTCCTTTATACCATTCATTCATAACGTACTGGGATGGGTACTTTCAGCATACTTTATCCCCTTACCCCCTTAAGGGTTATTTACTCTCACCATTTTGACAATGAACAAACTAAAGCAGGGGAAAACTGAGCTTGCCAAGGTCACCCAGATATCAGTGGCTCAGCCAGAATTCAGGTTCTTGAACTCTTGAAAAGTTATTCCTAGATCTAGTAGGAGTTTTTTCCAGGCCATATCTGAGACTTGGTCTAGGGAAGGGTCCAGTTCTCAAACCTTTTGGGACGGAGATTTGGAAGCCAACGTATGTCCATTTCTCTCAGGCATGCCTCCCTGAGACTAGGCCCTTCCGTGTGGGGGGCCCACACATCCGTTTGGACTGGGCCTCCCACTTGAGGAGCCACAGATTTTGGCTGCTGTCCAGTGGCATGTCTCTCCAAGGAAGCAGGCCAGGGCCACAGTGTTGACTTGGGCCTTGGGCCAGGGCCTCTAGTTCTTTTTCTAAGAGACCCTTGGCCTCCGATTGCAGATTATTACCACCAACAGGGTTATCTGGAGGGGGGAGCAGGTGGGGAGCCAGTTGCTGCCTAATTCACACAACTGTGTTCTGCCTCTCATGGTTATTTTCCACGACCCTGAGACCACGATAAGCATAGATAGGTGTCTAAACTGAGCTTCATACATTACAAAGACTGCTCACTTGTGCATCATATTTATAAATTGCAAATCATTACATGGTGAGTCACTTTTAAAATATATTTCTTTGTTAGATCTCTGTAGTTCCTTTATTGCCTGTTTCAAAACAAATTGAACTTTGTCATGTTCAACATTTGGTATTTACTTGGGGGTTCATTTTTAACCTAGTTTGTGTCAAAGTGAAGTATTTTGTAATTAGTCTTTACTCATTTGCTCACGGATCCATGCTTATCTTTTTTATGTCAGCTCTGAAAGATTCATTTGTAATTTTTTAATAGCCCTGTGGTTTCATTTTCCAGATTAAAAAGTACCATTGTTCAAATATATACTGACTTTCCAGGATGCAGGTCTTGTCCAGGAAATGAGGGGGGAAGTAACTATTGGACACATTGAGACAGGAAAAGTTTCTTCTGATAACAAAAGTGCTGTGATTCAGTTTTCCCCAAGTTTACAGTCTAATCCTACTTGATATCCACCAATTTTTATTCTCAGCCTCACTCTGCTGTCTGAATCTCAGGGTGAGAGGCAGAGCCAAAAGTGAGGATCCTCAAAATCTGGATGTCCCCCCACCCCCACTCTGCCCTTCACAGGTTCATAGAAGGTATGGTGAGGCTAGAGGCTCAGGCTCTCCCAGATGGTTTCTCATTGGTGCATTTGTAACTCACTGTAACTGGGCAGCTGGAGGGAGGGCCTTGGAGCCCTGGCAGAGGTGGCTGGGACTATCTGGGAAGTCAGGCTCCAAGCCATTTCCTCCCTGAGGCAGCTGCTGCTATTTGATCCTGTTGCCAGTCTCTCAAGAGGAGGGTGAGATTGTCTGAGTTTGAGAGGGGACATGCCCCAGAAGTCTGCCCCAGGCTTGGCTGTAGCCAGCCTAGGTCATTAGAGTGCTTTAGAGCAGTGAGTTCTGTCTTCTACCAGACCCTAACCCCACAGCCCACAGCAGCAAAACAGTGTCTGACGTCCAGGGAAGATTGAGAAGAAGGGGAGCTACTGGTTGGGGAGTCTTCTGATACCTAATTAGCCAGACCTGTCCACACATGTTGCTCGTAGGCCCTGGCAGGCAAGCAAACCATCTCTTCTTTGTTCAGCTCTAGACTCTCAACACTGGCACAGGCCTTCAGAGACCATAAGCATCAACCCGTTCTCACAGCTGGAAGAGGGAAGCAGGCCCACAGAATCCCGGAGGCCTCTCAGCCACTGAGTGGCAGAACTGGGGCTCAGGCCAGTCCTCTGGGTTGGGTTATAGTTCCAGATTTCTTCTGTGGAAGCTGGGGATCTTCCTCTTCAGAGTGCCACGAGTTCAAAGCTGAGGCAGCCTGTCACCCAGGGAACGGCCCTGATGTTATTGAAAAGATTAAAATAAATTCCACACCCCACCCCTGCCTCCAACATGGGATATTCAGTGTTCTTTCCCTGCTACTGGTAGGGTTTCCCTTTTGTGAATTAGCACTCCTCACAGACTAATGGGAAGAAATGTGCTTTGAGCTACTTGGCTGTGAAGACACCTCGGTTGCTTAAAAGCTTGGGCTGCAGTCAGACTAGGTTCTGGCCTTGGCTGAGTCCCTGCTTTATATCTGTGTCTCAGCTTCCCTTTGCTTCTCTG